TTGCAGTCATATCCTGTTCTGTCTGAGACTGTGTTGCATCTTCTTCTTCCATTTCCAGCAACATATCTTTGTGAAATAGGGTTTTCCAGCTGGTTGGTTATCAAGTCTAAAAACAGAAGTAGACTTGTTGTGGAAGATGGTCTTCACTGTGCTCTTGCAAAGACTGCCCTGAGAATTTCTGATCAGGTGAGAAAGAAGCAATCTCAACTTTCGCACTGATGTTGGCTTTTTACGCATACTGTCGCAAAATGCAGCAATGTAATTTACTGTTGTTACAGTAAGACTGTTACCCATGCTACACCATGCTTCAAAACAAAATTTCATTTATTTGTAATTAGAAATAAATATTTCACAATATATAATTACATATTGTTTTTGTGATTAATTACTATGCTTTAATTCTGTTCAATTTGTAACAATAAAAATACCTCCTGCATATCAAATATTTACATTATGATTCATAACAGTAGCAAAATTACAGTAATGAAATAACAACAAAAATAATTTTATGGTCGGGGGTCACCACAACATGAGGAACTGTATTAAAAGATCGCAGCATTAGGCCCTGGCCGGTTTGGCTCAGCGGTTGGAGCGTCGGCCTGCGGTCCTGAGAGACCCGGGTTCGGTTCCCGCTAAGGGCACGTGCCTCGGTTGCAGTTTGTCCCCGGCCCTGGTCGGTTGTGCGGGTGGCAACCACTCGATGTGTCCCTTCACATCGATGTTTCTCTCTCTCTCTCTCTGTTCCTCTCTCCCTCCCACTCTACCTGAACAAAAAATGGAAAAATGTCCTCGGGTAAGGATAAAAAAAAAAAAAGATTGCAGCATTAGGATGGTTGAGAACCACTGCTCTAGGGGGTCTGATTCCTTTTTTTTTTTTTAACTTTTTTTCTTTATTGATTTTTAGAGAGAAAGAAAGGGAGAGGGAAAGAGAGATAGAAACATCAATGAGAGAGAACATCAATTGGCCCCCACCAGGGATTGGGCCCACAATGTGGGCATGGGCCCTGACCGGGAATCGAACTGGTGACCACTTGGTACATGGGTCAATGCTCAACCACTAAGCCACACCCGCTGGGCGGGGGATCTGATTCTAACCAGCAGTTCCCCTGAGAGCACTGCATCATAACACAGGCCCTTGGCAACACGGGTCCAGTTCCATAGGGACTCTCATCTCACCGTGTTCCAGCAGGTCATTTCTTTTTTTATTTTTTTATCCTCACCTGAGGACATTTTTCCACTTTTTGTTCAGATAGAGTGGGAGGGAGAGAGAGGAAGACAGAGAGAGAGAGAGAAAAACATCGACGTGAAAGGGACACATCGAGTGGCTGCCACCCGCATGACCAACCACTGGGGACAAACTGCAACCGAGGTACATGCCCTTAGCGGGAACTGAACCCGGGTCTCTCTGGACTGCAGGTGGACGCTCCAACCACTGAGCCAAACTGGCCAGGGCTCCAGCAGGTGATTTCTTAAGCCAGCTCCGCATTCTTTCTGTAACTGCTTGGCTGGCCACTAACAGCCCTTGCCTTACTGACTTCTTTTGTCTGCCTCCCAGGCTGACCAGCCCCACTATCCACTGACCCTTTCTTCAGCTGCGCTGACACCTGCAGCCAGGGCTCAGCAGCCTGCTGCTTTAGGGCAGTGGCTCTTAAAGTTGAGTATCAGAATCATCAGAAGCAACTGTTTCAAAAGCTACTGTTGCCCTGGCCGGTTTGCTCAGCGGTTACACTATCAGTCCCAGACTAAGGGGTTGCAGGTTTGATTGTCGGTCAAGGGCATATACCTAGGTTGGAGGTTCAATCCCTGGCCCCAGTCGGGGTCATGTGGGAGGCAACCAGTTGATGTGTCTCGCTCAAATCAATGTTTCCCCCCGCCTTCCACTTTATCTAAAAATCAATTGAAAAATATCCTCAGCTGAGGATTAACAAAAAACATAAAAATAAAAATAGCCCTGGCTGGTTTTGCTCAGTGGTTAGAGCATTGGCCCTCGGAACAATGAGTCACAGGTTCAATTCTGGTCAAGGGCACATACCTTGGTTGCAGTCCGTCCCTGGCCCTGGTCGGGGTCATGCAGGGGACAGCCAATTGATGTGCCCCTCTCATATCAACATTCCCCCCCCCCACTCTATCAGAAGATAAATGGGAAAATATCCTTGAGTGAGGATAAAAAAATAAAAATAAAACTTCAGCCCAGCTGGTGTGGCTCAGTGGCTGAGCATCGACCCATGCACCAAGAGGTCACCGGTTTGATTCCCGGTCAGGGCACATGCCCAGGTTGTGGGCCAAATCCCCAGTGGGGGGCATGCAGGAGTCATCCAATCAATGTTTTTTCTCATCGATATTTCTCTCTCTCTCTCTCTCTCTTTCTCTCTCTCTTCCTCACTCTCTCTAAAATCAATAAAGAAAATAAATAAGTAAATAATAATAAAACTGTGGTCCAGGCTGGCTGGTGTGTCTCAGTGGATTGAGCATCGTCCTGTGGACTGAGAAGTCCTGGTTCAATTCCCAATCAGGGCACATGCCTGGGTTGTGGGCTCAATCCCCAGTAGGAGGCGTGCAGGAGGCAGCCGATCAATGTTTGTATCTCACATCGATGCTTCTCTCTCTCTCTCTCTCTCCCCTTTCCTCTCTAAGTAAAATAAATTTTAAAAAAACATATTTTAAAAAGTAAAGAATGGCCCTGGCCAGTTTGCTCAGTGGTTAGAGCACCGGCCTGTGGTCAGAGAGACCCAGGTTTGGTTCCCGCTAAGGGCATGTACCTCAGTTGCAGTTTGTCCCCAGCCCTGGTTGGGTCATGCGGGTGGCAACCACTCGATGTGTCCCTTTTACATCGATGTTTCTCTCTTTCTCTCTCTCCCTCCCACTCTATCTCAACAACAAAAAAATGGAAAAATGTCCTTTGGTGAGGATTTAAAAAAATAATAATAAAGAAAGAATAAAACCACAGTCCAGGCAGGGGAACGAGACTCAGAGAGGACAAAGAGGGTAAAAGAGGTCAAATACATGGTGACAGAAGGAGACTAGACATTGGGTGGTGAGCACACAATTTTGTATTAAAAAGTTGTATACCTGAAACTTATATAATGTTACTAACCAATGTTACCCCAATAAATAAAATTAAAATTAAAACAAAACACTTCAGTCCACCACCGCCCTTCCTGCCTCCCTCCTTTACTTTTTCTCCATGGAAACCTACTGCCTTTAACATACTTGTTTATTTTTATTGTCTCTTATTCCCAATTAGACTACCCTGAGAATAAGACTTTACATTTGTTTGATTCACTGGGCTTAGAAGCATGCCTGGCATATTGTAAATAGTCAATAAATATTTGTGAATGAATGTATAGATAAAGAAATCAAGTCCCCCAGCAGGCAACGAGACCACGGGAGAGCAGGGCTGCAGCCTTCTTTCCAAGGAGAGCGGCAGCTGCGATACAGGGAAGTCAGGAAGCCCAAGTCCCCTCCGGCATCTCCCCCACCTGCAGGAGTGAGGGCGAGGGCAGTAAGAAGTGAAAACTCCCAACAGTTTGAGGGGAGAGGAGAAGGAAAGGAGTCTCCATCAGTGCTGGAGCAGGACGAGGGAGTCTGGGCAGGTAATTTGGACAAAAGGGTCTCAGTGAGGGGGACACACTATCCTCACCTCCCCTAGCAGTGACCAGCCAAACAGAGCAGCAAGAGAGATGAAGGGTTTGCCTAGGGAGGTCATTCATTAGGGCTACTCACCCTCCTCACCCTCTCTGTTAAACCCACAGTGACCAGCACCCCCACCACACACACACCCCCTAGCGCCAGCCTTGTGCCTTGGCTGCTGTGTCCATAACTGCTGTCCCTCTGAGCACCACTTTCAGTTCCCCCAAAGAACCTACTTCAATTCTCAAATCCTGAGCATTATACATTTTACTAAAAAATTCAAAAGGGCCCTGGCCAGTTTGGCTCAGCGGTAGAGCATTGGCCTGCAGTCCAGAGAGGCCCGGGTTCGGTTCCTGCTCAGGGCACGTACCTCGGCTGCAGTTTGTCCCTGGCCCTGGTTGGGTCATGCGAGTGGCAACCACTCAATGTGTCCCTTTTACATCGATGTTTCTCTCTCTCTCTCTCTCTCTCTCTCTCTCTCTCTCTCTCTCTCTCCCCCTCCCACTCTATTTGAACAAAAAATGGAAAAATGTCCTCGGGTGAGGATAAATTAAAAAAAAAAAAAAAAAAGAATTCAAAAGGGCCCTGGCCAGTTTGGCTCAGCAGTTAGAGCATTGGCCCCTAGATCAAAGAGTCAAGGATTCGATTTCAGGTAAGGGCATGTACCTCAGTTGTGGTTTGTCCCTGGCCCTGGCTGGGGTCAGGCGGAAGGCAACCAATTGATGTTTCTCTCTCTCTCTCCCTCCTTCCCACTCTATCTGAAAATCAATGGAAAAATATCCTCTGGTGAGGATTAAAAAATAAATAAAATGGTTAGTTAAAAAAGAATTCAAAGGGGATAAGATGGTGGGGTCACACTGTACATCCTAAAGCAAATAATTAAAATGGCTTTGTTAGATATTTCCATATTTCCAAGTGCCTCTCTGGAGCTGCTGAGCGAGGAATGAAGTTTCTCCCCCTTTCCAGATCCGGCACCCATCTTGCCACCCTCCTGACCTTCAGATTCTTCTCCCACAGCACAGAAAAGTCCAGTCAGCCCTTCCTCAGTCCCCTGTCCCAACCTGTGTGCCCAGATTCATGAAACCCAGTGAACTCCGGGACCTGCTCAAAGACCACCAGTTCCTGGTTCCTGAGAACAAGTGCCCCTGGGTCTTACTGCCCTTCCCCCACATCCTAGTGGTTATCAAGATATTACTTTCATGCACACACAGGGCTCTTCTTGGGAGGAATTTGAGAGAATGTCATTTTCTCATCTCCAATCTACACTCAGCTCCCCCTTCTTCCTGGGGTGCCAGTGTCAGCAGAAGCTGGTGGGGGAAGTGAGACCTGGACACAGAGGAGGAGGAAATAAGAGGAAAGGGGAAGTTTGGGAGGGAGGCCAGGCCGCTGAGGGAGAGGAGACTGCCCCAGAGACAGCAGCTTGCCCGTCTGCACCCGCACCTGCTGAGCCATGAGCCAAACCCAGGACCTACAGGGTAGGAAGGTGGGATAGGCAGAAGCCGTCACGCGAGCGGGAGCCGACGATGTGGGCAACGGGCTAGGAGGGCAGTTCGCTGGCCTAAGAAGGCAGAACTGTGATGGTCCTGGGCTGGTGTGGAGGTGGGAGGGTGGGGAGTGAGGGTACATTAACCTCCCTGTCGCCTCAGGAGGGAAGGCTTTTGGGCTGCTGAAGGCCCAGCAGGAGGAGAGACTGGATGGAATCAACAAGGTAAAAGGAAGAACTAAGGGGGTGGGGCCTGGGGACAGGAGTCCTGAACCTGGGCCCACCCTGGCTCTGGCTTCCCCACAGCAATTCCTGGATGATCCCAAATACTGCAGCGATGAGGGTCTGCCCTCCAAACTGGACACCTTCAAGAGTGAGGGGAGCCTCTAGGGGTGGATGGGAGGTGAGGGGGAGGATTTCCCCAAAAACAGAGCAGGGAGAGCACAGACACAGTCTACTTTTGCAGTGGGGAGAAGGAAGGCTGCCTCTATTGTCCCCCTGGTTGCAGTCCCCTTCCCTGGCCAGCCCCTCTCAGCAGCTCCTCTAAGTTCAGGATAGGGTAACAGGGCCCCTCAATCCCAACCCCTACTTCCTCTGCCTGCCCCACCTCCTTCTCCCTCAGCAAACCCTTTCTCAGTTCTCTGTCCTGCCCCTGCCCTTCCAGCCAGAGCTTACCCTCTACTTTCTCCCCTCACCCAGAGAAATACATGGAATTTGACCTGAATGGAAATGGAGATATCGGTGAGAACAGGGTGACGCGGGGGAGTGTGCAGGCAAGGGGAAGGTCTCTCCTCCAGTGCTCCAGTACCAATGGCTGGGAAAGAGCCCAGCTACCAGGATAACAGGAAGGGAATGGGAATGTGGAGGTGCAGGGGAGAGAGAGACTCCTCTTCTCACCTCTTACCTCCATCTCCAGATATTATGTCCCTGAAGCGAATGCTGGAGAAACTTGGGGTACCCAAGACCCACCTGGAGCTAAAGAAGTTAATCAAGGAGGTTTCCGGTGGCTCTGGGGAGACTTTCAACTACTCTGACTTTCTCAGGATGATGTTGGGCAAGAGATCTGCCATCCTAAAAATGTGAGGGAATTACTGTAGGGGCAAAGCCAGAGCCAGGGTAGGCCCTCTGGGTCCAACCTCCCTAAACTTACCTGTTTTCTCCCACCCTACCCCAGTCCCCAGGCTCACCTTCTACACATTACTCTGCACCCATTTCTCCCATTCTTTGAGGAACCCTTCCAAGGTCCTATCCCCATCCATGGTCTGGTTCCCACTGCCCCCTACACTCCCACCCCTGCTGCTCCCCTTCCTCCCACCCTTCAAACCCTCCTCCTCTTCTGGGTTTTCATAGCAACCTAAGATTTATTCTCTTGAGAGGGCTGTTTCCTGATCCCTGTGTCTCTTCCCATCTCAACCAGGATCCTGATGTATGAAGAGAAAGCAAGGGAACAGGAGAAGCCAACAGGTCCTCCAGCCAAGAAAGCTATCTCTGAGTTGCCCTGATTTGTGGTGGGATGGAAGGGGCTTCTAATGACCCCAACATGAAAAAAGAAGACACAATTGTGAGCCAGAGTGAAACTAAAATAAAATTTTCTCCTTCTCTAGATCAAATCAGCTTGGTCTTTGTTTGGGGGCTCTTTTTCCTGGATTTGGAAAGTAGTGAAGTATCTTTGAGGGAAGGGCAGCGAGGATTTGCCGAAATGGGCAATGTGTGTATTACAGCAGATGTGTGTGTGTGTGTGTGTGTGTGTGTGTGTGTGTGTGTGTGTGTGTGTAATCCCCACCAGATGATGTTTATTGATTTTCTTTGTTACAAGAGAGAAACATCATTCGGTTGCCTCTCCTACACACCCTGACCAGTGATCAAACCCACAACTTTTTGGTGCATGAGACAATGCTCCAACTGAGCCACCCATCCAGGGCTACAGCAGATGGCTTTGTAGGCAAGGGGTATTCCAGATGCATACGATAGCCTTAACCTCAAGGAAGTTAGAGGAGATAAAAAGACATGTACAGCCCTGGCCAGTTTGGCTCATTGGTTAGAGCATCAGCATGTGAACCAAAGAGTCATGGGTTCGATTCCAGCCAAGGGCAATTACTTCGGTTACGGTTTGGTCCCCGGCCCTGGTCGGGGTCACTCGGGAGGCAACCAATCGGTATCTCTCTCACATCGGTGTTTTTCTTTCTGTCCCTCCCACTCTATCTGAAAAATCAATGGAAAAATATCCTCAGGTGAGGATTAAAAATAATAATAATAAGCCCAAAGTATTTGTTTCCCTCTCTGAAAAAAAATATGTACAGCCCTGGCCGGTTTGGCTCAGCGGTTGGAGCGTCAACCTGCGGTACAGAGAGACCCATGTTCGGTTCCCGCTAAGGGCACGTACCTCGGTTGCAGTTTGTCCCCAGCCCTGGTTGGTTGTGTGGGTGGCAGCCACTCGATGTGTCCCTTCACATCGATGTTTCTCTCTCTGTCTCTTCCTCTCTCTCCCTCCCGCTCTATCTGAACAAAAAATGGAAAAATGTCCTCGGGTGAGGATTAAAATATATATATATATATATATATATGTACAGTAAAAAAAAAACAGAAATTGACCCTAGACATTATGTTCAATTAATATTTGACAAAGGTTGGCTGGCTGGTGTGGCTCAGAGGTTGAGCTTCGATCCATGCACCAAGAGGTCACCAGTTTGATTCCCAGTCAGGGCACATGCCCAGGTTGTGGGCCAAATCCCCAGTGGGGGGCCTGCAGGAGGAAGCCAATCGATGTTCTCTCTCATTGATGTTTCTATCTCTGTCCCACTCTCCCTTCCCCTCTCTCTCTAAAATCAATAAAGAAAAAACAATTAAAAAAAATATTTGAGGACCCTCTCTATGGAGCACACTGTACCTTTCCCCACCGCCTCCTCTCCCCAGGGACCATCCCAGCGTGCCCAGACCTCTCTTTCTCCTTTGTCTCTCAAGGCTCGTCTCTCTCCTCTCTCTTCTCTCTCCCCCACCCCCCTCCCCTCATCTCCCCCACCCTCTCCTAAGCTCCAAGGGACCTCCTTTTGCTGTAACTTGTTTTCTGAGCTCATTTCTTCTTCCTCTGTGACTTTCTAAGTAAACTTTCTCTTATAATTTGAGTCTTGGCTCTGAATTCTTCTCTTACCTGACCTCAAGTACCATGGTTGCTGAGCCAAGGTCCCATCTGACTCCACCCGTCTAATACCTGCTGCTGTTTTTCTGCCACTAACAGTTGGGTCTTCCCCAGCCCCCAGGGCTGCAGCCCCGTCCCAGTGACGCTGGGGCCCTCACGGCTTCTCAGAACCTCTAAAAACTAAAAACTAAAACTAAAAAAAAAAAAAAAAAAATTTGAGAAAGGTGGCAAGAGCATACAATGGAGTAAAGACAGCCTCTTTAATAAATGGTGTTAGGACAACTGGACAGCTACATGCAAAAAAATAAAACTAGACCATCAACTTACACCCTACACAAGAATAAACTCAAAATGGTTAAAAGACTTAAATGTGACTCATGAATCCATAAAAATCCTAGAAGAAACTGTAGGCAACAAAATTTCAGACATTATACGCAGCAGAATTTTCACCGATACATCACCTAAGGCAACAGAAACAAAGGAAAAAACAAACACATGGGACTACATCAAACTAAAAAGCTTCTGCACAGCAAAAGAAACAACCACTAAAATGGAAAGGGAGCACTGGCCAGTTTGGCTCAGCGGTTAGAGCATCAGCCTGCAGTCCAGAGAGACCCAGGTTTGGTTCCCGCTAAGGGCACGTACCTCGGTTGCAGTTTGTCCCTGGCCCTGGTTGGGTCGTGTGGGAGGCAGCCACTCGATGTGTCCCTCTCACATCGATGTTTCTCTCTCTCTCCCTCCCACTCTATCTGAACAACAACAAAAAAAATGTCCTCAGGTGAGGTTAAAAAAAAAAAAGGGGCCCTGGCCAGTTTGGCTCAGTGGTTGAGCATTGGCCTGTGGACCAGAGAGTCCCGGGTTCGGTTCCCGCTAGGGGCACATACCACAAAAAAATAAATAAATAAAAAATTAAAAAAAAAAAAAAAAAAAAAAAAAAAAAAAAGGGAACCCACTGTACGGGAGAGCATAATTGCCAATAATACATCAGATAAGGGGTAATTTCCAAAATATCTAGAGTACTCATGCAACTCAACAAAAGGAAGACAAAGAACCCAATTTAAAAATGGGCAGACCTGACTTCCAGTCAGGATGGCAGGTAGGTAAACATGGTATCGAGTCCTCCCACAATCACATTAAAGTTACAACTAAACTACAGAACAACCATCATTCAAAACCGCCTGAAATGAAGCTGAATGGAAGTCCTACAACTACGGAATTAAAGAAGCAGCCACATTGAGACTGGTAGGAGGGTGGAGGCGGACGGGCTGGTCCCACAACCATGTGTGGCGGATAAAAATCAGGAGGACATCTCAGCTGGGAAGGTCCTCCCTGAGGACTGAGGGGTCCCTGTCCCACACCAGGCACCCGCTCAGGGTTCCAGTGCCAGGAAGAGAATCCCCATCACCTCTGGCTGTAAAACTAGCAGGAACTGAGGCTCAGGGAGGCTGAGGCGGCAGGAGCCCCAGGCAGCTCCTCTTAAAGGGCCTGCGCGCCGACTTATTGGACTCTCTCCCTCTAAGCTTGGAGGGGAGGCACTCGAGGGGCGCCAGAGACACACAGGGAAGAACTGAGCTGTGTGGCACTGGAGCGAGGGCTGGAGAGGGGGCTTTCTCCGGGACAGACGTGCTGTCAGAGGCCTTTGTTCCTTTGGTGAGCCCTTCCCTGGGGCAGCAGACAGCCGCCATATCTGGGACTCCAGCGACCTGGCTCACACTGGTAGCCCTGCCCTGGTGATTCCTTGAGGCCCCGCCACACCCAACTTTCAGGCCCACCCAGGCTGTTGCCAGTTGCTTAACGATAAGATTGGCCTGTCTTGGATCCTGCTTCAGGTTTTCCTAAATTCTTTCAAATGAGCAGCATCTGGTCTCAGCTAGCCCCATACCTCTCATTAAGTAATACACAGAAACAAACACAGGGAGGCAGCCAAAATGAGGAGACAAAGAAACAGGTCCCAAATGAAAGAACAGAAAAAATCTCCAGGAAAAGAACTAAGCAAAATGGAGATAAGCAACCTAACAGGTGCTGAGTTCAAAATACTGCTTATAAGGTTGCTCAATGAACTTAGTGAGAGCATCAGCGAACTTAATGAGGGCCTCAAGAGTATAAAAAAGGACCAGTCAGAAATGAAGGATGCACAGTCAGAATTGAAGGAGGCACTAACTGAAATAAAGTATAATTTACACAGATTCAATAGTAGAGTAGGTAAAGTCAAGAAGCAAACCATCGATTTGGAATATAAGGAAGCAAAAAACACCCACTCAGAACAGCAAAAAGAAGAAAGAATACCAAAAAAAATAAAATAAAATAAATAAGGATAGCATAAGAAGCCCCTGGGACAACTTCAAGCGTGCCAACATTCGTATCTTGGGGGTGCCAGAAGGAGAAGAGAGAGAACAAGAAATCGAAACCTATTTGAAGCAATAATGGCAGACAACTTCCCTAACTTGGTGAAGGAAACAGACATACAAGTCCAGGAAGCACCGAGAGTCCCAGACAAGATGAACCCCAAGAGGCCCACACCGCCCTGGCCAGTTTGGCTCAGCGGTTAGAGCGTCGGCCTGCGGTCCGGAGAGACCCGGGTTCGGTTCCCGCTAAGGGCACGTACTTCGGTTGCAGTTTGTCCCCGGCCCTGGTTGGTCGTGAGGGTGGCAGCCACTCGATGTGTCCCTTCACGTCGATGTTTCTCTCTCTCTCTCTCCCTCCCACTCTATCTGTACAAAAAATGGAAAAATATCCTCGGGTGAGGATAAAAAAAAAAAAAAAAAAAAAAAAAAAAAAAAAAAAGAGGCCCACACCAAGACACATCATCATCAAAATGTAAAAGGTTCAAGACAAAGAGAGAGTCTTAAAAGCAGCAAGAGAAAAGCAGTTAGTTACCTACAAAGGAGTTCCCTTAAGACTGTCAGCTCGCCTGGCTGATGTGGCTCAGTGGTTGATTGTCGACCCATGCACCAAGAGGTTGCTGGTTTGATTCCCAGTCAGGGCACATGCCCAGGTTGTGGGCCAAATCCCCAGTGGGGGGCATGCAGGAGGCGGCAATCAATGTTCTCTCTCATCGATGTTTCTATCTCTCTCTCCTCTCCTTACCTCTCTCTCCAAAATCAATAAAGAAAAAAAATTAAAAAGTAAATAAATAAAATATACTTGTTTTCATAAATAACCCATGCATATGGGGCAAAATTCGAAAGATATAAGAGTATGTGTTAAAATTTTTAATAAAAAAAAAAAAGACTGTCAGCAGATTTCTCAAAAGAAACTTTGCAGGCCAGAAGGGAGTGGCAAGAAATATTTAGAGTGATGAAAAGCAGGAACCTACAACCAAGATTACTCTGTCCTGCAAAGCTGTCATATAAAGAGTTTCCCAGACAAGGAAAAGCTAAACGAGTTCATCACCACCAATCCGTTATTATATGAAATGTTGAAGGGTCTTTTTGAAGAAAATGATAAAATATATGAACAAACAA